TGTTTATTTTATCAATTTTTATTGAGATTGTACATGTTTTGTGTATGAGTGTATACTGTTTGTGTGTTTGAGCAGCAAAAACAAATTCCTCTCAGTCAGGTTCCGACTAATATGGCAATAAAGTATTGAAACGTAAAGTATTGAAACTTGAAACTTGACTTAAGTTGGCTAAACTAAGAAACAGTGCTTTGTGATATACCCCCCACGGGTCTTGACTGACTGACACAAGCTCACGTTGTCATGTACATGGGTTCTTCAGAGGAAGAGACAACTGGTGAAGGCTGTGAAAGTCTGAGCTGAGAGTTTTCAGTTGACTTCATTATCCTCTCCATACTGTGCTGCATGCTATTCAGCTTTGTTGCCAGGCTCAACTTCCATCAGCTACACAGAAAACTCAGAATCACAGAAACTGTTGTGAAAGCTGTGTCACAGCCTGCATCCTTTGTCCAACCACAAGTTTTTCCATGTATGGTATTTAAAATATATTATATTTGTGGACAATTCATATAGATTATCATAAACGTAGAGTCAGTCTGCCACATAAGCATGAACGGTGTTCTTGTTTCTTTGTGCGAAGCAAGGCCGAGTTTACAATAATCAGCGCATCATCAGATCCACTCTGAAGCACCTTACGGGCCAAAAAGACAAATGTGCCTTTGTGAAGCCACTTCCGTGGAATTTTAAATGGCTTCTATACGAATATGCTGTCCTTCGGGTTTCCATGGTGACTCGGATGACATGATACAACGTTTGGCGTGAAAAGTGAGAGAGTCGGATGGGAAGATAAAAAGAAGAGGAAGGAAGGAAATGTGAGTGAAGAGAGCAGGGGAAAGAGAGAGAGAGAGAAAGGGACAGATAGAGAATGAAGAACAGAGAGAGGGAAAAAGAGAAGGAGAGAGAGGGAGGAAGGGAGATAGAAGGAGAGAGAGAGAGAGAGAGAGAGATAGTATAAGAGAGAGGGAGTGAGACAGATAGAGTAAGAGATAGGAGGACACGGAAGGAGAGACAGAATTATAGAGAGAGTGAGCTAGAACAAGTGACAGAAAGGAGGGAGAAAGTGAAAGAGTAAGAGAAAAAGAGAAAAAGAGAAAGAGAAGAGAAAAAGGGATAGTTAAAGAGAGAGTGGGAAAGAGGACAGATAGAGTAAGAAACAGATAGAGAGGGAATGGAGGCAGAATGAGAGTGATAGAAAGTAAAGAGGAGAAAAGGAAGGAGAGAAGGAGAAGGTGAGAAGAAGAACAGACAGAGTAGGAGACAGAAGGAGAGAAAGAGAAAAGGAGATATACAGAGAGGGAAAGGACAGACAGAAAGAGAAACAGAAACAGACAGAAAGAGCGAGTGATAGAAAGGAGGTAAAAAGAGAAAGGGAGAGAAAAATGGATGGAGAAAGAAGGAAAGAGTGAGGGAGAAAGTGAGAGAGGACAGATTAAGAGACTGAAGGGGATAAAAAAGAGAAAGAGGGAGCGAGAGAATGACAGGAAGGAAAGAAAGAAGGAGAGAGAGCGTGAAAAAGAAATGGATAGACAGAGAGAAAGAGAGTAAAAGAAAAAGATAAAATGAAAGGACAGATAGAAGAAGGGAGACAGAAAAAGAGAGACTGAAAGAAAGGAAAAGGGAAAGGATAGACAGAATGAGAGAGAAAAACAGTGAGAGAGAAAGAGATGGATGGAGGTAGAGAATGAGAGTGATCAAAAACAAGTAATAGAAAGAAGGGAGAAAGAAAGAAAGGGAGGGAGAGAAGAGGGGATAGATAGAGAGAGTGCGAGAGAGAGAGAAAATGAGAGAGAAGGACAGACAAAGATAGGATAAAGAGAGAAAAAGAGACAGAAAAAGATGAAAAGGAGAGTCGGAAAGAGAGTGAGATGGAAAGAGATGCAGTAAGATAGAGCAAATAGAGATAAAGAAGAGGGGGAGATAGAGAAGAGGGAAGACAGAGTAAGACGAGAAGAAAGAGAGGGAGAATAGGGCAGTGAGTCAGGCTGCATCGTGGCCCTGAAACTTGAGAAAACATTCTGCCTGCAGAGAGAGAGAGAAAGAAAAAGGGAACGAGAAACAGAGAGATGGAGGAAGAAACTGAAATGAGGGCTGAAACAGTCCTTGCAGCCAGAGCGACCCAGGAGGAAACAAGAAAGAAAAAAAATCAGTAGAAGGCCAAGTGGGCAGGATGGGCTGTAGTGAGGGTGTCAATAAAAGGCGGCGTGTGTCAGAACGTTCCCAACGGCTCTGCGCAACAGCCTCTCGCGCATCCGGCCGGAATATATTAGATGTTAATGACCCGAATGACGGGTTCTGCATCAGGGTCATCAGGGCTACTAGTCCTTAATGAACTACACGGCAGGCTAATCACATGCAAAACACCCTAAGAATAAAGGACGAAGGACTGTTTTGTATTTTATTTCCATAAAAGTTCTGATAACAAAGCGGTTAAACAGGGAATCAGGGATGGAATCAGGAATGGATTGCTGACATTGTTAATTGAAATGGCTGTGGCTGTACACAAACTTATACACTGCAACAAATAGATGAACACATCTTTAAAATGCTCTTCTAAAGCCTATAGCGTCTTCAAAATGTAGTCCTTCCTTGGTCTACGCTCTTGAGTGGCTAGCAATTCATTCTATGTACATTAGGCCATGTATTTTGTTACCTATGGGCCTCTTTGAATTTGGTCAAATGCCCTTCGGTCTGTGTAATGTTTCACATTACTGTTTCAGGCTTTATTCTACCAATTTTGGATCTAAAAGATAAAACAGTTCTTCATCATTATTATATCTTACGACCACTAGCTGTCTACCTAAATGACAGACACTCAGGATAATGTTATTGTATTCCCCAGAAGTGAATGTAACCACAGCAGTTTTGTCATACAAGCTATTGATGGTGACGCACACCAACCATTCTGCTGGCCAAAGTGTTCAGTGTAGCAGTAGTCATGCAGACTGGCATTTATATTGTACTGAAATATAAGGAAACTCTAACCCTTCAGTGAATAAACATTTTTAAAACAATACACATTTTTAATTAGATTAATAATGCATCAACACTGACAAAGCATCTTCCTAGTGGAGTTCCAGTTCTCCCTCGAGATCCTCCGCTGTAACAAGAACCCATGAGCTGTATGAATGAGAGCGAGAGGCTACAATCATGGTGGAGCTGAACCGTTGACTGTATGTATGATATATATGATATATCCACTCATTGGTTGGAACATGCAGCCATGCCAACATCACTGAATTACTGAAACATTCTGATGTCTTTTGTCCACTTCTGTACTGTAGCTACAACAAAATTCACTGCTTTATTAATGGAAAAAATGAGCTATATATATATATATATATATATATATATATATATATATATATATATATAATATAGTTATAGTAAAAAAAAGGCTCTGTACTCCAGCTGGAGCACACCGAAACGCAGAATGACATCATTTTAAGATTTTAAGATCCATATTTAGAGAATATAAGGAAATGGTCAAATGACCACAATCTTAAATAAAAATCTAAGTTTTGTGAATTATTTGTAACTGATATCTGAAGTCTTTAAGTCACAGACATCACCAGATTCTGGATATGTAGTGTGTTTCAGGTCACTGTCCTGCTGCAAGGAGAAACGCCATCCACTGAGTTTGCTTGAGTTTAGTCCTGTCTATTCTATCAGAGCTCATGTTTGGACTCCACTCTTAGGTGGATTTGACCAGCTCTTGCTCGAGTGCTCGCCGTCATTAAAGCAAAAGAGGGACATACCGCATTTTATAAAATTCTGAAATTCATGGCAAAATTTTAAAGACTCTACTTTTCATGCAAATTGTTGCTGACAATATAATTTTTAGTGAATTTTAATTGTATTAGAAAGAAATGCTAATAAAAGCAGTTTCACTAGTGGTGTCTTTTAGACTTGTGGACCTCACTCTGAGTGTGTGTGTATATATATATATATATATATGTATGGGAATTTGTGTGTATATAATTATATATTTTAATAATAATAATTAATACAATACTTTTTTGTTCTATAAATATTTATTATATTATTATTTATTAATATTCATATTATTTATATTATTATACAAATATTTAATAATAATAATAATATGACCATTTCACCACTTCAATGTAGCATTTTCGTTTTCTACAAATTTCCTATAAATACGTATTTTATAAGAAGATTGTTTCTTATTTTTATTATTATTATTTATAATAATAATAATAATAATAATAATAATAATAGGACCTTTTAATGTAACGTAACAAAGTATTTAAATCTCACACATCTCCATTTATTTATTTATTTATTTATTTATTTATTTTAGTTTTATCTCTGTGTAAACCGCTGTTTGCTCTCCAAAACAGCTGTACACATGCCCCTCTTTTCTGCAATTTCGTTACATAAACATGTGTGAGCTCTTTGTGCTGCTGGTCCAGCTGTGGCTGAGCAGGGGCTTCATGCTGCCCTACACGTGTCCCCTCCCCTCACGTGAAACCCCACGCTGCCAAAAAAGACGGACCACCTCGTCGCGCTTCAGCTTTGAAAAACCTCGACGACAAACAGTGAAACTACATTTACGACGCACATCGGTAACGAAACACGCTCCATACAGCAGCCGAGGCTGATCAGAGTGAACTGTGCTCTCTGTCACGTTACGGATCTTCATACTTCATCATCCAGTCTCACCTCACGCCCCCGCAGGAGAACGTCGAGCCTTCCTCATTTGCATATCAGGCGACTCAACCACTTGCCTCGGTACATATCATCGCTTTCAGAGAGAACTTAAAGCCTGATTTTTGCTACTCAAAGGTCCGAACAGCATCAAGTAGCATAATGATGTTCCACCCTGATCTATTTTAAGGGTTCGCAGAATGAATATCTCTAGGAAAATCGTTTTATCCAGTCTCCTCCTCTTTACGTGAAGTGGTACAGCCCAGCTGAAGCCGCGCCCCCTGTTCTCACCCCGCTGGTGGGAATGGGCTCTGTTATTGTTTATGTCCGGGACTTTGCGGAGAGTCTGAGCAGCGCCAAACTTTACAGTAACAGTCGGTACCTGACGGTAATTCACTCCGAACTCCACTCTTCGGTCTCCCACGCTGAGAAGTTATGAAAAGTTGGCCCTCCGCCCTTAAACATGTGTTTAAAAAGGGAGTAAACTCATGGAGCTCCGCAACGGGATCCAAAGGGAAGTGAGCACCGAGCAGCAGCGGCGGCGGGGCTGCAAGAGAGCGCAGCCGGCCCAGAGCGAGCCCAGAGCCGGCGTGTGTAAAGTTCTAAGGCCGCTGCCTCTGGAGGACAATGACGAGGGAGAGGTGCGTGTGGAGAAAGGTTTCTCCTTCCTCAAGGCCAGCTCCGCGGTGTCTCTGGCGCCCCGGTACAGCCTGCTAAGGGAGGTGGGTCGCGGAAGCTACGGCGTGGTGTACGAAGCCGTGGCCCGCAGGTCCGGAGCCCGCGTGGCGGTGAAGAAGCTCCGCTGCGACGCTCCGGAGAAAGTGGAGCTCGCCCTGGCCGAGTTCTGGGCCCTGGCCAGCCTGGAGAAAAGGCACGAAAACGTGGTCCAGCTGGAGGAGTGCGTGCTGGAGAGGAGCGGCCTGGCGCAGAAGATGAGCCACGGGAACAAACGGTCCAAACAGTATTTGCGTTTGGTGGAGACTTCGCTGAAAGGTGGGTGAAGTTCAAGAACAACAGCAAGGCTTCCTTCAGGGTCGAGCTCGCTTCTTGTTCGGATTTCTCTGTTCCACCTTAAATGGAACAGCAGTAAGCGCTGCACCATTTAAGGTGGAACCGGAAAATAAAATTTCGAATAGGAAGCTGACTTTAGCTTTGTGGCTAGCACCTTGCCAGTTATGCCCAGCTAGTTATATCAGATTTATTACTCCATTATTTAACATGCAGCCTTGTACGATGCTTGGCCGAGCCAGTCTTTGAATGTAGCCCAATAAGCTCAGTGTTCTGTGAACTGAGGTTGCAGTTCAAGCCAAGAGGTAATCATACATGCTTAAAGTTGCACATGAACACCAGCTTCTTTATATCTGTGGTTCGGAAATTGTCCATCACTGCTTTGCATAATAAATAATAATCATTTTGAACATGAGAGCTTGTTAAAGCCTCCCTAAAGTGAAGGTGCTGCTTTGGTGTTTTGCTCCAGTTGCCCTCGTGCAGCGCGTGAGGGAACACCATGTTCCAGCTCGATGATGTTTAACCCCTTAAATGCCAAACCCACACACCTCCACCCCCCCTTCTCCACTCCACTCTCCTTCCTTCATATCCTTCTGCTTTCTTCATGCCCCCATTGTCTGTGCTCGTTTTTGTCTTTTGATTCGCAGAATCGAGCATGGCTTCTTATGTGTTTTCTTTCATCAGGAGCGATTCTGTGTAATAATTTGAATTTTGTAGGGTTATTTTTTGTGTGTGTGTTTATGTGTGTGTAAGTGCATTTGTTCCAGCCACTCACTCGATCCACTTTGTGTTGTTATGTAAGTGTCATACTTTTGCAATGCCAGTCAAAAAAAATTAATCCTGAGGGTACAGCCTTTCCAGGCCTGGGCAAACGCTGCTTGCATGATTTAGGTGCTCTCTGCTTGATAAGACTTTTCTGAAATATTTCCTTGAAGCTCTTGGAGGGATTACAGATGTAAAACCTGTGTTGTGCTTTTGGTCACTTTGCTGAACCTCTTCGCATATCAGAGTCCCCGGAGAGCCAGTTTATGCTTTTAGGCCAAAAGGTAAACGTGACTTCCTTTCCACACATGTGGAAGTTTTTGAAGTTTAAATGTTAGGGCTATGCCTTCCTAAGCATGCCTTGTTCACGGCACTCTTCCCACTGTAAAGTCCAGCAGCTAAGCTTTGCAAGCTGTTGTAAGGCACAGACAGATTACCCGCATTTGTACAGTGTTTTTTGGAAGACGTCCAAACTCTTTGCCAAAATCAGTTTGGAGCTGAACACTGACGGCTGTTTCGTTAGTCTGCTTGGGTGAGCTCAAGTGTTAAGTTAGTTTCCGGGTGTATTAATAGACAATCAGCTGTGCCCTAAACTAAGACTGTAGCGTTTCGTTTCAGTGCTATCAGACTATACCATCTTTTGTTTGTGAGCGAGCCTGAAACAGTAGCTTATCAGTTTGGCACAAGCAACACTCTGAAACGCTGCTCTTGATTCCTCCCACAACGAGTTTTCCTGACTCTGCAAAACATGGCTTAGCAGAAAACATTAGCAGACTGACTGAGCTTAAAACCAAAACTCTACTGATCCCTTTTAGCTTGCTGGAAACTGTTTATGTCAGTAGAGACTGAGAGCAGAGAACCAGAAGCCGTAGTGCTGCAGTTAATATCAGGGTGGAATGTTGAAGTGATTCCACTATAGGTGCCAATGCATTGTTTGCCAAGCTTGTTGCTTCAATCTAGGAAAGTGTGTTTGATAAAACCTCAGTTTTTGAACATGAGCTTGAATTTCAGAAGCTAAAATTACAATATTAAGAAGCTTAGGCTTTGTAGCTACTAGTAGACTGTGTTTACACACCCTTAGTTGTCAAGTAATCCTCATATTGTTAATGTAAATTTACAAGATATGCATTCCTTCTGCACTCAGTGAAATACCCTTTATGCTTTTCCAGGTGAGCGCATCCTGGGTTATCCAGAGGAGCCGTGCTACCTCTGGTTTGTCATGGAGTTCTGTGAAGGTGGGGACTTGAACCAGTACATCCTGTCCCGACGGCCTGACCCAAAAACCAACAGGAGCTTCATGAAACAGCTGACCAGCGCCGTGGCCTTCCTTCACAAGAACAACATTGTCCACCGTGACCTCAAACCAGACAACATCCTCATCTCGCAGAAATCCGGCTCGCCCGTTATCAAGGTGGCCGACTTTGGCCTTAGCAAGGTGTGTGCCGGGTTGGGCTGCATAGAGCAAGAGGGTGAAGACCAGGTCAACAAGAACATCAACGTGAACAAGTTCTGGCTGTCGTCGGCCTGCGGCTCGGACTTCTACATGGCACCCGAAGTGTGGGAGGGACACTACACGGCCAAAGCAGACATTTTCGCACTGGGCATAATCATCTGGGCCATGATCGAGAGGATCACGTTCATCGACGCAGAGTCAAAACGGGAGCTCCTCGGCACGTATATCCGGCAGGGCAGCGAAATTGTCCCTGTTGGGGAGGCGCTGCTGGAGAACCCCAAGATGGTGCTTAGCATCCCACAGAAGGCTCGGAGCCCCATGTCGGATGGGATCCGGAGACTCTTGCAAGACATGCTGGCTGTGAACCCGCAGGATCGGCCGGACGCTTTCCAGCTCAAGCTCAGAGTGGACCAAGTCACATGTGCCGCGTGAGAACAGTCTCCAGGTCAAACTCACTCAGCTTCAGGTGAGTTTCCAGGGACTCTAGATCACCATTAATGAGTCATTTTTAACTTGTTTTTAACTAGTATTGCACTTATTTTACTGCCTATTGCAGTGGTTCTTAAACCAGTCCTCATGGACCCCCAGATGGTCCACCATTTTGCTCTGTCCCTATCTGTTGCAAGTTGGATTGGAGCAAAAACGTGGACCATCTGGAGGCCCCTGAGGACTGGTTTGAGAACCACTGATCTACTAGGTTTCACAGTCCTCTGATTGGAGCCTGGTTTCTCAAATATGCAGTAGCAGCAGATAATAACTCATTACAGCAGGGTTTATAAACTTCAAACCTGAAAGGCCCAGCACTACAGTTTAGTGAAGCCATTGGGCAGTCATCTTCATGCCATGTCCCTTTTAGACTGGTAGTTACATTTTACTGCCAAATGTTTTAGCCTGTGTAGAAACCTCTTATTTCAAGAGCTTTACTCTTTCTGCATTAAGATCAGCAGACCTGGGGCACCTTAACTTTTTATTTTAAAGTCTTGTAAAGACGGTTTTCCACAACAGATTGACTTTAATCTGCACTAGGCTGCACATGTCCGCCCAGGATTTACATTCCCTCGGTTCGTATTAGAGCAGGATGGTTTTTGGGAGGAGGGGCGCAAGTGTTTTTCAGGACACAAGCTCCTCTTCACTGACTTCCTTCTGTTTTTGAATGACCGAGCACACACCTTGCACCCAGACCTTATGCTTTTGACATGTATGTCCCACAGCTCTTCTTCTCAGCCTATTCAGGAATGCCTGGTCTCCGCCCGCTGCTTTGTGCTGCCATAATTAAATCCACAACGCTCATGCCGCAGGGCCAGAGTGTACTCTGTGTGGGTGCCAGCCTCTACCCAGCTCCCTTCCTCTTGGTGCACATGCTTTTTCTTTTCCTTGTATTTGCTTCTATGTTTCACCCTGGAGGCATTTCACGGGTGATCAGATCAACAAGGTCTGACACCTTTTGAACAGAAGAGCTAACGCTGCCAAAGTTTGGTGTTCTGGAAGAAAACAGGTTGCCAGCTCCCAGGTAGCTTGTCATGAAGATGTAGACAATTATGGGTTGATCAGGGTCACCGTTAAATCCTTGGGTACTTGGGTTAAAGGGGAATTTCACAGATCTTTCTGAAGTCATTCAGAGTGGTTTGATGTGAAATGGTGCACTGTAGAAACTTACCAACTTAGACTTCTTTACAGTGGTGGTGATAGGAATCAGGTGATGTCTGCAACACAAATATAACCATTTTATTTACTATCCAAAATAACCAGTGAATCGTCTGAGTTTTTATATGTAATGTTAATGACTGAAGTATAGAGAATGCATGTACCTCTCTGCCATGAATGGATTTAGAAAAAAATCTTTTTACACCAATACCTTCTTGCTAAACTATGGTAAAACAGTGTCTCAAAAATTGGGCAATATAATCTGAACTAATTCATGTATCAACTTTCTGTGAGAAAACCTTTTGGGGTATTAAGTGCTTTGGATATCTGGTTCCTATCACCACTACTGTGAGCAATTCTGGCTTGTCAACAGGGGATTTTTCATCAGACAACTCTGAATGACATTGTTTACATCTTAACGATTGAAGTATGCAGAAATGTGGAAAAATAGATGGAATTTCCCTTTAAAACAGTACAATAAAGTGCCTACTGGCCTAGAGGTTTATTTGATGGAGGAGGGAGGTGATATTGTCGGTGCAGTTTGGGGCTTTTGTGTTCCGTGGTAAGCGTGACTGTGTGGTTGCCTCAGCGGAAATTTGCTATTTTAAAGTCACGGCATGCTTGATCGGGGCACGCTAGCTTTCATCCCTCTTCCTCTCACCACAAATCCTGACCAGATGACGTCTCAGTATCATGCTATCTTCTGTGTTAAACTGAGTTTGACTGAAGGCCATGCTGGACCGTTAGTGTTGTGTTGTTGGTCATATTGGGCCTTTACCATTGTTGTGAGTTATGTCACTTCTTTTGTATGACATCAGTGATGTGTCAGCAATATGCAGGCCCCTGTTAGGCTGCAGATGGCTAATAAGCTGGCCAGGGGCTCAGTGGATGTGTGCGTGATCGCATGTTTCCAGTGACGGAGCAGTATGGCCTGGTTCTTTCACTGAAGGCTCAGATATAGAGCAGTTATGCAACGGGCTTGACCCCTCCCTCTCCTGTCCCTCTGTCCTAAGAGGGAATCAGTCATCCATCAGAGCAAGCTGGCTTGAGAAAGGAACCTGCATAGTGTATCTAAGTGTTTACGTTGTAGGGGGCTGGGGATTGAGTGGGGGGATTTTGACATGTGTTACAGGCAGTCCTTTCTCCATGGCCTAAAGTAGTAGGATGGGATTACTGGTGAAATGGAGATAATTGCAGTTGCCTGTAGAAGCCCACCGCACAGTTACACCGCCCCCCCCCCACCCTTCCTCCCAGAGCTGTGCCCAGCAGCTAGACAATGAGGCTGCTGCTGCTACTGCTGCTCCACTCGCTCTCATGTTTGGAACATTTTGTCCTCTTTGCCTGTCGGGCTGACGGTGGCCGATATAGGCTGCAGCGCAGGTCCGAATGCTGTATCTGGGATTGTTATTTGATTCTAAAGCTTGAGAGGCAGTGAAATAAAGCAGATCAGCCTCGTGCAAATTTAATTTATTTTGCTTGCTGTTATATATTTGTTTGTAGACTTCCCATCAAAAATTTTGGGGCATGTAGCTTTTCAACAATGAGCATGTTTTTCTTTGACAGCTTGTGATGACTTGATATATTAAAAAGGAGCATGTAAATATTTGTGACGACATTTTCGTTAGTAAATACAATGCATTTTATTCCCTTGTTGTGATGCCCCTCAGAACTCAATCGTTTAAGGTATTTAAACCTTCTTTGGGTAGAATTACAGGGAATTCTTTGGGCCTGGAGAAAAAGTGCTTTGGAAAAGAAAACTGAAATCATCATTTAGGCGAAACCTGCGCACCAAAGAAAATGCTTTGATGAACATGAAATGCATTGTAGCAAAATATACCGAAAGTATTAGCAAACAGCTCTTTTATTCTAACAATACCTCTATCAGCTGAAAAATAATAGAATTTTCAAATTCCAAAAGACAATATGTCCCCAAACTTTTGATGGGCTATGTATACAGTCTTCTGTTAATGACGCCTTCGGCTTTTACTGCTGCACTTTCTGATAAAATGAACAACATCCAGTCTTGGCTTCAGAAAAACGGCCCACTCTGAAGCAGCTTTCACGGCTGGCTCGTGTGTGTTGGCTCTGCTCACTGCACTGGGTCGGCTTTATGGGGTCTCAGAGGAGCAGCTCTTGTTTGGCTGTTCTGGCTGCAGCGTATAGGACGGCATGTACTCGTTGCACCCGGTGGGCGTGTCTCTCTGTATGTAGGATAACTCGTTGATCAGACAGAGTGCCAAGCGCGAGCCACAGAGCCCCACAGCAGCTGAACATAGAAACAGTGACGTGACGCTCGAGAAAACTGGGGCACTTTTGTTTATTTGGTCGTCTGTTAGATTGTTTGTTTGTTTTTCTTTTTTTCTGAATGAATAGGCCTGAGGGAGAGCTGAACAGACCACTGCAGTCTTCAAGGGGGGCTTGTAGTTAGAAACAACAGGATCAAGCAGGATCGAACAAAACATGTCCAGATCCTGAAACGGTCAGAGTAACTTGTGTTTACTTGGTGCTCTCACTGATAGTCTTGATTGACTGAAGTGGAGAGGGGATGGTCAACTTTCATGCGTGAGGTGTGGGGGGGAAGGGCTGGGAGAGTTGCGTCTGAGGGAGGGGGCCATGGACTTGGGTGTTGTGGGGGACGGGGGAGGGGGGTCTGGTTGAAGAGAACCATTGAGTTTGCCTTCATGTTACATAACCAGCTGTGCACTACGTACATATAGGCAGGACCAAAACAGCAGCAAAGCATTAAGCAGGCGAAGTTTATTTGTAACAGTCACATACCAAAGTATCTCACCGATAAAACCCTGTAACTTTTTTTTTTTCGGTTATATTTATTTTAATGCCGTTTGAAAACAGCAGCTGCCCTTTACTGTATAATGTGAAAATTACGTGGAATGAACTATTGCTACATTAAAGGGGAATACAATTGATTTTAAAACATGTCCGAATAATTAAATCATTAAAATGTAAAGAAAAGTCATTCAGAGTGGTTTGATGTGAAATTCTCTGTTCTAGAGAACATACTGAGTCAGAATTGTTCACAGTGGTGGTGATAGGAACCAAACGTCTGGAGAGTTTAATGCCTCTAAAAGCTCACAGAAAGTTGTTACATTAAATGGTTACAAACACAATAAAATTTCTATTTTTTGGTAGACTTTGTGACCCCTGGGTCTTATCACCACCACTGTAAAGACATCAGAGTCTCTTCAAGTTTCTCTACAAATGAACCATTTTACATCAAACCACTCTGAATGACTTTAACATTTCAGCGATTTGATTGTGCATATTCAGTTTTACGTGCCTCAAAATTAAGAAAATGTTCCTTTACCTGTAAGATTACCATTTAGGCGATGAAAGGTTTATGACAGTGACGATGTATGTAGCCGAGACGCAGTCAACTCTTATTCTTCTCTGGCATTTTTACGACCTTATCACTCCACACAGCCGTTCACGTTATATAATTTTACAGATTTTTGACGCACTGCTGCCACAGATAAGTTGTCTAGTTCACTAAAACGCCCTCATAGCGTGCAACTTGTTCATGCCAGAGAAATGCAGTCATGTTCTGATCCAAAAACAGAAAAGGAGGGGCAGCGTTCTTAGATCCTTTAGGAAATCTGGTGCCTTTATAGCTTCATTGTCCGACATCTGTTGTTTGAGAAATGGGGTGGAATTCCTGAACTGTATAGGCTACTTTTGAGCATGTTTACAGTTTCATTGACTGAGTCCGTTTCTAACTATAGCCTGTTATCTTTAGATTTGTTTGCATGCCTTTCTGAAGCCACTGTACAAAGCCGACCCTTCATATAAATAAATTATGCAGAGGTTAAGTAGGTTGTACTGCTGTACGTTGCCTTGAATTGAAATGTATGTTAATATCTGTAATAATTGTTAAAATTATAACAATAAGGCATTATTATAATTGTAACTGAACATATTTAATTTTATTTGCTGACACCTTTAATTTAAAACGGGGGCAAACCAGCAATACTTCACAAATAAATAATAATTAAAATAAAGAATTTGTTGATTTCAGCTTGTCTCAAAAAAGGAAAAAAAAAATCCATCAGTTTTTTACATTTCGAAGATGTAAACAAAGTCATTCAGAGTGGTTTGGTGTGAAATGGTTCATCGTAGAGAAACTTATCAATGCAGCCATTTAATTTACAATTCAAAATGACCAATTAACCGATGTGTGTCTTCTGAGTTTTATAGAAAATATGGTAAAATAATGGTTAATCTGAAAAAATAAAGTTTTCTTTGGGGACTATTTTGTCTCACAATACACTGTGTGTACCCTGCCATTGTGAATGTGTAAATAAATAATGAATTAATAAATAACTAAAATCTTCTCAAAACCATTGTAAAACAGTGACCCAAAATCGGGCAGCGTATTCATAACCATTTCTGTGAAGGAGCTTTGAGAGGCATTAAACTCTTCAGACGTCTGGTTCCCATCACCACCACTGTGAACAATTCTGACTCAGTGAGTTCCTCTAGAATGGAGCATTTCACACCAAACCACTCTGAATGACCTTGTTTACATCTTATTGATTAAACTGTGCAGCAATTAGGAAAATTCAGTGGAATTGCCTTTTAAATTTTTTCCTGTTTCTTTGTCTCCTCAGGTTTGGGAACAGAGCAGTTCGGAGAAAGGGACTATGGATCACTGTGGGGAAACGTGAAGCCTGCTTCGTGATCACTCGTGTCGGACTTTAATACCGTCAGACTCACTTCTATTCAGGTTGCATTATGTGAAAATGCTATGCAGTCGACTTTTGTAGCAGTTTCTTTTTTCTACTCTGCGCCCTTCGTCACCCAAATCTCCAGATCACACAAAAAGACTGTCAGTCTCCGTTTATAGATATTTACTAGGCTTGTCTTCTCTTTCTACTCCTTCTCCGTTCTTATCAACACTGTTGCAACAGATTAAGGGAGTTTTGTTGGTTTTTGTTTTTGTTAATTTTCCACTGTTAGATACTGATATACTATTTTGGACCAGAGAGGAAAACGCGCTGCACTTTGTACTCAGACATATCACCTCTGCACTTCTCACAAACTTACCCAAAGAGCCCGTCAGTATACCTGTAGACTTTCACGGACAAGGTTCCACAGCTGATCCTATGGAATACTGTGGAAGATTCAGATAAATATTCCATGTTCTGGAATTCCAGAAGCAGTGGAGCAGTAATATATTAATAGTTCTTAACAGTTAAACTGTGAATGAAGTAATGTGAATGAGTTGGGTACACACCGGCCCTGTCTCTCTGTCTCCACGACGCGTGTGGGCGAGCAACAGCGCCCTGTTTCAGAATCTCACTCCTGTGCCTTATTTCATCTCTTAAAAGAGAATATTTCAGTTTCTTTTTTTTATAGCTTTTTTAGTTGTATCCTTACAAGATCATTGGAACAAAGTCATATATCCAGTCTTGCGCACAAAAACAAGGGATAACGCTAAAAATGGCCAGGTTTAAATACTTCAGTTAAGTTTCAGTCACAGACATGGAAAAATTTGATGTAGGTTTTTATGTATGTGTGTGTGTGTATATATATATATATATATATATATATATATATATATATATATATATATATATATATATTACACAAAGTTAGCAGGACATCTTGTTTTGCTTTATTCTGGCCATATTGTCATATTTTACAAATACTTGCATAAACATTTGTCATGAAAAGCATAAGAAAAGAGTTGTTATTGTTATTATTATTATTATTATTATTATTATTATTATTATTATTTTCCACTGACGTTTTTTTTTTTTAAAGGTTATGAAGTTGACTCTGCAGTACGTTATACAAGATGTAGAAAGGGATCAAACTGACAAGTGACGTTTTATTAACTCCTTTGTCGATGTGGGTTTTCATCTGTTACTTTGATGAACCCAACCCTGATGTGCCAGTCTCCTCTGGCTCAGAAACACGCACAAAATTGCTTCAAAATCTTTGCAAACCGAACTGAAAAATGAGGCGATGTGGAGTGGATCGCTTTGTGAATCTTTTCTAGAGTTCTAGTGTCTTTTGCTATTCTGTTGGAATGTTAGACGGAACAGTTGGTATTCATGGGAAATGTAGTCCCACTCATTCGACTCCTGTTTGTGTTGAGTAAACCTGCTGCATGGTCCTGTTTCTGTGGCCGTCACTGAGCCAGGTTAGCTTAGGTATCTGCATCACTGAACCTCCAAAAACACTACCGCTCCGAATGTGCCAGGTTATTTCTATTCCTCCAGTTTTCTGTCGTTAGCTTCTTGGCTAGCAGGCTTAGGCTCACCTGTTATTTCTGAGGCCATAATATTGTATAAAAATGTTTTTTGTAAAATGAACTCTGTAGATTATGGTCGTTGCTTATCAAGGTTACAACATTTTTCTGGTTTATTTCTCCCAATTTTCAGGAACAGACATAGTAGGAGTCTATTTTATTTCACTGAGTCAGACTGTGATAATTTGTCTTTTAGTGTTTTCTGGTTTACTTATTTGATGGTTCTACCTCATTTTTCACAGTGTTCCTGATGTTGGTTCTCACTAAGCTGTGTTGTGTCAGATTCTGCATTATATTATATTGTAATATGTCATCATATGTACTTCCATGCATTCTTTCTTCCATAACGTGTTATTAAACGATCTCAGTGCAACTGTGCTTTTAAACTTTTATATCTCATCAGGTTTAGTCGATTCTAATTGTTCCAGTAGCTTAAAACTCAATATAACTAATAGTAAATCTGCCTAATTATGGACGTTATTTAGTGTGTGCGTCTTAAATCCCGAGTCAGGAATTGATTAAAAACAGCACCCTGGCTGCCTCAGGATGGGATGTACTGAGTGTCTGATAAACATCTGTATTGTATGTTGTATCAGACACGCTCTTTTATAGTACTGATGATTTGTTGTTTGGTTTTAGTCAAAGCATAATTTTTCCCATCAATTAAAACTACTTTAATCATAACTTATTTTGGATGTCTTCATCCAGAATAGCTTTTCTAAGGAAACAGTTGATGGAGCTTTATAACTCCTGCCTATTTACATTACCTAAGTACACCTCACACTCATGCATCCAGTTCCTTGTCATATATATGTACAAAGTTTACACTTTCACCACAGGGTCCAACCGCTGGCCTGTAATGTTTTCATCCAGTAGCACTGCGCTTCTCAGATATTTCAGAAAAAAAAAAATTCAAAAGTAATTCCTGATGCCTTTCATCATCATCACTAGTCTCTTAATGCATCACTAGCTGATGTCTGAAATGCAGACCTCTCCAGAAATACCTCAGCATCTCAGGAACTTGTCCTAACATCACTCTTTAGTCTGGCTTGTACGGACAATATCTCAACACAGGGTCAGAATTCCTGCTGTCTGCTGTAGATCGTTTGCAGGTCAAACACAAAACAGTTAGTTTTTTTTTTTTTTTCCTAAGATTGATGTGAATTATAGATATTGATACTCACATTTCCAGGCAGATGATGTTAACTGCTATTACCAGGGAACTTGTAGGCGTATGTAAAAGTTTGGGCACCCCTACTCAAACCCTCTACAGAGAGCACACGTCTGCGCATTTTAATGAACAATTATTGTTTATTTGCTAAATTTAACATAATAGCCGGAAAATATAAATCGAAATATAAAACGAAAAAAGTTATGGTACAGTTTTTATTTTATGTTTTATTTTTTTCCATTATGTTAAACACAGAAAATAAATAAATATTGCAGTAAAATTTGCAGAAAAATCCCACATTGACAGATGTGTTAACTTATTTTCACTTTGACTGGGGAGGTTCAAACTTTTGCGTACGACTGTGTGTCCCTTCACATCACACACGCAGCACCCTGTGACAGATATTGCAATCAGATGGTTACTTTTTCCTGACCAGCACCTTTTCATAAAAGCCTGGATTTAAGGTCTTACTTTATCAAGGTCAAATCTAGACTTTTGGAAACGAGACTGCTTGTCATGGTAGTACAGACTGTTTTGGTAATGAAGCTACGAGCGACTCGTAGTATCCGTTCCTTTCCTGTAAATTACTGTTTTTTTAAATAAATAAATAATACGATAAATACAACTTTGTGTTTGACTTATTTTAATGTTGTGCATTTATTGTAACTTTATATTTCAATGTGAACTACTGTATTAATCAGTTTGTCATCACATAAATGTATACCGTATAACATGATTACACTGTTGTATTGCAGTGGTAGGAGCTGTTTTGAAGTCATGAAAGTCCTGAGACAAAATATTCTTAAAATAAAAAAGAAAGAGGGCTATGCAAATTTAGTCTAATTTCTAAATTAATGCAGCTATGACAGCTATGAATTTTTTAAATAAATTCATAAAATGAATTTTTAATTTTAGTGATTTTTAATTATCTTAGGCATCAAAAACACCTCCTGAAGTATAACCGGTATATTAAACATTTAAATATTTATACATATTTATTTAAAATGTAAAAAAAAGCATTTTGCTAATGTTAATAATATTTGTTATTCTTAAATAAGACTAAGATTGCATAAATAAGACTAAGCATGCTATAATATTTATATTATTATATTATGGTATTAATGCTAATGAAACCAACAAATGACATTATTAACTGCAATGTATAGTATAGCCTAACTACACTGGTGTATTGCAGTGGTAAGAGCTGAAAATTCTCAAAATAAGAAAAAACGAAAAGAGGACTATGCAATCAAACCATGACAACTATGATAATTATTCTTCTTGAAGACATTTAAAATGTTAAAACAAATTTTGCCAATGCTAATAATATTTATGTTATTCTTAGATAAGACTAATGTTAGTCTTAAGTAAGACTAAGATTGCATAAATAAGACTGAAAATGCTATAATAATTTTTATATTGGTTTTAATGATGCTAATGAAACCAACAAATGACATACTGTTAACTGCAATATGTCATTTGTTGGTTTCATTAGTATTATTAACACTAATATAAATATTATCCTCTACCATGAAGGTTAAAAACGAAATGAACCAATGTCTTCGAAAAAATTGCACGTCCTCCCACTAGCTTTATTAGCACTGTTCACCGAGTGGCCATTTTGCTTGTTAAGTCATCACCATGACCAGTTTTCCGATGGGTTAAACTGAGTCTTTTTCCATGTTAGCGTATGTCGGCACAGTGACTGCAACAGCGGTGCTGCTACTCTCAACTCTGGATCAAATGATCTTTGTTCAGCTGACAAACACGAAGCTTTTCAGTTCTACACCAGGACAAGTCAGAGCATTTTAACACAGTCTAATTTGATTTACACTGGCTTCCTATTACGTTTCGCATGATAAGATCTGTCAGGCCTTGCTTCTGACATTTTAAGCCCTTAATGGTCCAGCTTTGCATAGCATGATGATCTCTCGGAGGGTCAGAGCCCATCTACAGCACTTCGCTCAGCTGCAAATCCCTAGAATCACTTGCAACTCAGCTGGTGGGAGATCAATTGTTTGACATTTGTTCAGGCAAAAATAAGCTTTGCTTGCTGGGTTTCTTCTAATTTGTATAATTTATAGTCTTTTTTACTTAAAAAGCATCATTTTGTTTTTTTTTCTAGTCTTCTAGTGTAAATCTGTGACTGAGATTTTCTGACAAAAAAGTAAAGCGCTGTATAAATAAAGACTATGAGAACCTGGAAATGTGAAAGAGGCTATTATTGCTAACACCTTGTATCTCTGTTGGCTAGCTAGCCTATCTGTTATTCTACTAACATACCATATCAAACCTATAGCAACTCAATTTGACCAAATATCTCATTTTAACAGGGTACTGATTTCTAATCTGACAACTTTAGCACCATTACAAATGTACAAATGTCTGCTATTGGTGGCCTAGCTAGCTATCTAGCTTAGCTAATTTAGCCTAACTACAGTGTTTCAGATAAACCAGGCCTTACCTTCAACTTTGTGGACTGAATCTTATATCCAGCTGCTGTATTTCTTGTCTTTACATCCATTTGGACATTTTTCAAAGCTTCAAAATAGGCAAATGTGGACAGCACATCAATGTTTTTGCTCCTCATAGCCGCTGAACCCTGTTACTATCCTGTGTGAGACACAGTAAACAAAACGGCTGCGCTGTGAATAAGGCCAGCTAAAGGCTCTTTAGGCCCAAAAACAATAAAAAAATGAGGTAAAAATGATGGTACAACACTGTTTCTTAGTTTATTTACTCCTTCTGTTTACAGTTCTTTAAAGGAATCACACAAAGCTGTCCAGCTATTTTTCAGCCTGACCCATTATATAAATATTACTAATTAGCTCTGTATTAGTTATGTTAATGTCTATTAGGATGACCTCATTGTTAGACTCCTCTTAAACCCATTGTTCATCCATTATCAAGTTTTGTGGTAATTTTGGGGTAAATAAGCTTGGCCTAGATGTTCATTCGCTGCGGCCGAGAGGTCAGAGACCCCGTAACCTTCAAGAGGCAGGCGTCCCACAGAGCGGCAGTGCCCAGGTCACCGAGAGGTCACAGACCGCGGTCAGCAGTCCATGACGGGCCATGATCTTATAGGGATTATCCGTTTGTGTGCT